TCCCCCCTTCGGGGGGTCACAGATCCCCGGCGAGCCACACGGAAGGTTGCGCCACCAGACAAGGGCCTCGGGAAGTGGCGGGGAAGGGGTGGGCCGGGCACTCACTGTGGCGTTGAGGTGGATAGTGGCTTTGTCAAATGCCACGGTGGAGGAGTTCAGGCCCGCGGGGTGCACACTGATGCTCCGGGGAAAGAGGAAAAAGAAGGCGAAGCCAGCGGTGACCAGGCACAGGAGCACCGCCAGGAACACGAAGAGCTTCCTGTGGGGCAGCACCGGGGGCCAGGAGAGGGCTGGATGCGGATGCGGGGAAGGCCCGACACCTCTCCCTGCGCTGGGCGTCGGGCCAATGCCCCCCAGCCCCAAGTGGCTGCCCCGTGCCCGCCTCACACGGCATGGGCCACCTGTGTGCGTCCAGTCCAGAGCAGACCCGAGGGACAGGGATGGACTTAACATCTTGAGGGGCTATGCCAGCTCATCCCGGTGGAGTGTGGGGAGGCGGGGCAGCGGTGCCAAGCCAAAGCTAGGACCTTGTGTCATCTGAATCCAGACCAGGAGCAGGCCCACCGGCACCCCGAGCACCCGGGCTGCTTCTGAGGTTCTGGATGGCCCAGAACAGGCTGTCCTGGTTTTGGCCTGGACTGGGTAGAGAACATTTGGGTCTGAACCACGCCACCATCACCAGGGCAGCTCTAGGACACCTCCCCCAACCCCTGCAGCCGGGCCACTGCTCCCTTCCAGGAAGTGCAAGGGCCCACAGTGACAGCTGGCAAAGGACAGGGCAGCCTCACAGACTTCCTGCTCTGTTGTGCACTGTGGAAAAGGGCGACCGGCATGAGCCTGTCCACGATTTGGGGGTGGCGCACTGCGGTGGAACTGGGGACCACTGAGTTGCATCCCCAGCCCTTACGTCTGAGGGTGGGCTCCAGTCAGTTGCCCAGGCTGCCCTGGACTTTGCTGACCTGCCTCAGCCTCCTGAGTAGCTGTGATGACAGGTGTGCCAGGGCCGGGGATGAACCCGGGGCATCACAAGTACTAAGCAAAGGCTGACCGCCGAGCTGCACCCCAGTGCTAATACCTCAAGGAGAGGCTGGGACCGCGGAGCCCGCCGTGGGGAGGATGCGGAGGGCTCGAAACGGAGGCAAGAGTGAGAACGGGACAGGACGGGCTTACGTGCGCCTGGGCTCCAGCCTCTGGTCCCCATACGGGATGAGGGCCACCAGCTGCTTCTCCCGCTCTGTGGAGCAGAACAGCGTGAGGGGGGCGGATGGACACCCCAACTCCACACCAGGCCCAGCGGGCACTGCCTCATCACAAGGGAGCCCGGATCGCTGGACTCAGGCCCCCCAGCCACTCACCTTGGGGGATCTCCCCGCTGCCCCGGCAGGTAGGACAGGGCACGAAGCTGCCACGGCCAGCCCCTTGGCCTGGCTCTCGGGGGGACAGGAGCGGCCTGCGCTCGGCCCCTCCCCTGGAGCCGGGTTGGGAAAACGCCTCACCCATCTCGGTGGGTCTTCCCAGCTCAGGCTGAGGCCGGGACACACCGGGGCAGTAGCCTGGCTCCAAGTCCTCCAGCCCAGGGAGCCCTAGGGCAGCGCGGCAGCCCCGCGGCCAAGGGGCAAGGGCTCGGCGGGCTCGGGGACTTGGGCAGGAAAGCCTAAAGCATCTCCACTCCCCTCAGGCCTGGAAGAGGCCATCGCGCCTGCCATGAGAAACAAAAGCAGAAGCACTGCTGAGAGACTTCCAGAAGTGGCAGGTGGAGGTCCCCAACCCCCCGAGGAGCTGCCGCCCACTGCAGAGGGAGGAAGCTGGACAGAGCTGCGTGGAGACAGCCATTTGGAAAGTCCCTGCCCTCCCCAGTCTTGTGATTACTCTGGTTTTTATTTTGTTTTTTGAGAGAGACTTGCTATGTAGCTCAGGTTGGACTCAGACCCCAGGCAATGCTCTTGCCTCAGCCTCCAGATTGCGGGCATGCAGGGTGTGGTTTCTCCGAAGGTCTCCACAGAACTGGGGACAGAACTGCCTGAGGTCTACCTACCTGAGGAAGGGCTCCGTCCGGGAGCCCGGTGGTGCTGGCTCAACTGAGGCAGGGCTCTTTCCCAAGGAGGCTGGGGTCCCAGGTGCAGCCAAGAACCCTGACTGTCCAGTGTGGAGGCCGCCTCTGCCTCACCGCCTTCCAAGATGGAGCCGAAAGGAAGCCTGGGGTCAGTCTTGTCCGGCCTGCTCTGTCCTTCCCCACAGGCCCCCAGCGGTGGAAGCTGAACCACACAGACTTTCGGTTGATTGATACAGGGTCTCGCTATTGAAATTCAGAATGGCCTCGAACCCATTATGGAGCCCAAGCTGGTCTCAACTCACTGCATCCTCCTGCCTCAGCCTCCGGAGTGCTGAGATCACAGGTATGCGGCACCACTCCGGGCGCACACGCAGATCTCTGCAGCGAAACCAGCGGTAGTTTCAGCTGGAATCCGGCTCCCTCCGCCGCCAAAGCCGGGAGGGGCTGGGGCGGGGCCGGGTTTACCCTGGACACCCCACGGCCGCGGTCTAGCTGGGCCCGCACAGCGCCTGTGTCGGTCGCGGAGGCTCTGGGCCTGGCTTCCGGAAG